ATCATGAGTATTTTCTGCTGTTTTATACTATATTTTAGTTTGTTTGTCTTAACACCTTGTTTCTCTTGTGCATTAAGAACACCTGTGTTAGGGCATGATTTAACAATAAATAGGTTATACAGTATAAAATACCACGTACCGTCCGCCCTCCCATGCCACCCTGGCATGACCTCTTGCCCCCCCTTTGCCACCCCATGTCAAATGTGCTAGAACCGCCACTGCACCTGACATCCTCATTTTTTTCCAAATGGACAAGTCAAGCAGGGCCGTCCCTGGCCAACTTGAGGCCCCACGCAAAGTTAGAAGATGAGGGGTCGACGGGGGGGTGCTAGTGGAGTCTGAAACCGTGCCGCGCCACACTAATTGCACCGCATAAGCCCACAGGTGCGCCGCTTTTGCGGCACAGTTGAGGCTCCCTCCCCAAGATGAGGCCCCCTCCGCGAGGTGAGGCCCCCTCCGCGAGGTGAGGCCCCCTCCGCGAGGTGAGCCCCCACGCAGTCTGCGTGATCTGACTGTAGGGAGGGACGGCCCTGAAGTCAAGTCAATCTTATTTATATAGCCCAATATCACAAATCAGAAAAACGTACCAATCAGTCGACACTAATCCGATAAAAAATAAAAACATTGGAAATCAATACAGGAAAAAAAGAAATATTCAAAGAATACCGATGTCTTAATAATGCATATTTTGGCATTCAATATCTGTACACTACAGTATCTGCCAATTTTTGCTTGAACGTTAAACGGAAGGTTAAGTGATCAGGATAATATGAATGAATTTAGGAATTAAATTGGATTTGGCCTAATGAAACCCAAGTATGTGTATTTGCTAGATTCAGTTCAGACTAACAATAAAAGACACACAACAATAAACCTTTTCTGAAAAGTACACTATGGTTTGACATAGCAGGAATTTCTAGTCAAAGTCGATATGTGCTGATTCTATTGAATATATAGATGATAAGCAATCTAACCCATCCATCCAGGGCCTTGTGGTGCCACCCGTTCCTCCAGGGGGTCCAGGAGGTGATGAAGATGAAGATACCTACGAGGAGGCAGAACCTTACTTGGCCAACACAACCACATCTAACACTGGTATCTACAAACACATAAACTGAAACGTTGACAGGTTATCTGTGCACACAAAGAAACGTGTTTTAAAAAAATTTGTAAAACATCTCCATCCCTGTCTCAGAGAACGCAGAGTCAGACAGTAGTCACTATGAGTCATACGGGGAGGAAGATGATGATGATGAGCCTGTGAAGGACCGAGCTCACTACATCCACTGGAGCGCCTCGCAGCCCTGCCTACGCCCCGTCCCAGAGTCCCGCCTCTGTGGTTACCTGTGGAAGAGGAAATGGCTCGGACAGTGGACCAAACAGCTGTTCATCATCCGGAGCGACGTGCTGCTGGTGAGAAGCCAAACCATTTAGAGTCAGTTACTAAAGCCCAAGTTTAAGGTGATAACATTTGGGCTTAAGTTACTTTACCCAAGTATATCCAGAGGTGAGAGAAGTACACTGAAAAAATTGAAACATTTACTTTAATTAAATGTATTTTGTAAACAAATTTCACATAACCGTATTCGGTAAATTGAAAGCAATAATATTAAGTTGAACCAAATATTTTTTATTTAAACTTAATATTATTGCTTTCAACTAACCTAATACATTTAATTAAAGTCGACGTTTTAGTGGTTCAGTGTATACTCATAACTGTTACAAGTAGCGGTACCACGTGGTTAAACTATTGTAAGAAGAAACAGTATAAAGGATGGAAAATGTACTTAAAGGGCCAAAATAAAAAGCGACTTATTATATATTATGAAAAAAGTGTACATCATAGTATTGGATATACTGTATTTATTGATGCATTAATCACTTGATGGTAAAGGTGGAGCTATTGGTTGTAACGTTAGATGGGTAGCTTTATTTAATAATATATAATAAAATCTTACTTAATTATATTTTATATATTGTAAAGAAGTCAAAGTGCACAATGGTGGGAGTAGAGGTATAAAAAACATAAACATTGAATACTCAATAAGAATACAAGAGTCTCAAACATTTTCTAGTGGTGTACTTACTTCCCATCACTGAGTATTATAATTTTAGGATATTTTACTTCACCTACATTTATATTTGTTACTTTACAAATGAAACATTGTATACATTCAAAACACATGAAAGTCATAAGCCTTAAACGTAATCAGCTGATTACTACTTGAATCATTGTTTTCATACAATTATTGGACTAACTATTCAGCAGATTAATAGATAATAATAAAAAAAATCATAGTTAAAGGTTCAAAATATGCTCCACATAAACCAACTATTAAATAACAGCCTGCTTTAACATTGATGCATGATGCTCCTAGTTTTCCAATTATTGGAGTCTTATAAGTAGTTGACTCATAGTCTAAAATCAGTTTGATTTCAATCATTGTTTTCAGTGAAGCTAGTGAGTAAGAAACTCAGCCTAGGAATTCTTTTTAATACAGTCTAATTTGTAAATCCGACTTCTTGTTGATGTAGCAGATGTCCTCTGAAGTGGCGCACGCACAACTGTCCTCTGGAAAAACAGCTTTTGAATTTCCTGAGAAGTCCAAGGATATTTTTACCAAATTTTTTATTTTTTCAAATGGGAAATGTAGTAAATGTACAAACTTTGACAAAACAACTAATAAAAGAAAAATACTCTGCTCATTTTGAACCAACTCCTTATCAGACTTACCATGCTCTGATATTGTGCGAGACACAATACGCACAAAATACTAGCTACACTGTAGGATGTCTTCGCAGTTCCTTGTAATAGATAATTGTGTGTGTGTGTGTGTGTGTGTGTGTCTGTGTTTGAGAGAGAGAGTGTTTGTGTGTGAGAGTGTGTGTGAGAGTGTGTGTCTGTGTTTGAGAGTGTGTGTGTGTGTGTGTGTGTGTCAGTGTTATAAGTGTGCCCAGGACCTGCTGCCTCAGCTGGAGTTGAGTCTGCGTGGCTGTCAGCTGGTCTACAAGTCGAAGAGCAGCGGGAAGATCCAGCACCAGCTCAAGCTGCTGCTGCTGGGCTCAGAGAGCCTGGTGCTGGGCTACAGCAGCTTCCAGCAGGCCGCCGAGTGGAGGAAGGTAGGCCATCACCAACGTAAGCATCACAAGGGCTCTGTTGACAGAAAACAATGAGATTTTTTCATTGTATTTTGGAATAAAAGATCATCTTAAACACACATGCAAGATACTTACATGTTTCTTTCAGCAGGTTAATCTCCCCTGATTAACACCACTTTATGATTTTGAACTACATTACAGTCCCATAACTTCACGTCACCACCCCTAAGCTAAGGCGGCTAATGTTTGGCGCAATGACATTTACTAGTAGTGATGGGAATTACGACTTTTTGAAGGGAGCCGGATCTTATGGCTCCGGTCCTTTCCAAGAGCCGTTCAAAAAATAACTTTTTAAGGGGGCGGGGTTAATAGGTTTATCTGCAAAATAATCACCATGATAATGATTGACTGTATTGCCAGAAATTGACTTTTTCTCACAGAATAATGTATAACTTGCTACATGTCTCAGCCAGCCAAACTACTGCTCAAGCAGCATGCGTTATGCCATCATCTATATCTATGGCAAATTTGCCTTCAGGAAAGCAAGTTCCTTTAAAGGTCCCATGTCATGACCATTTCTACTGATCATAATTCCATTGTTGAGGTCTACTAAAATAGCTTTATACTGTGCAATTTTCCAAACTCACATTGGTTTCTCTGTCCTAAACGACTTGTTGGAGCTTTTTTTTTTTTTGAGTC